ACCAACTTCCGGAGTGCACCATTTCATCATCTGACCTCCGATCGGAGTGTTTCCAAAGCTCACATGTCACTTTTAAAGAATACTATTAGCATACTAAATTTTGAAAAGATCCAACAGACGGATTGAATTTTGTGCAGGTTATAAAATCAATACTGTAGCTGTCATGACAGCAATTTAATGCTGTCATGACAGCACCTCCAGACCAAATTCCGGAGTGCGTCGTTTCTCCGTCCGATATCCGATCGACCTGATTCCAAAGCCCACATGAAGCTTATAAAAGGTTTTACTTGTGACTCAAATTTTAGAGAAATCCAACGGTCGGATTAAGATTTGAACACCCGGATGCAAAAGTGCAGTTTTTTGGTAAAAACTATTTTCAAAATTGTCCAAATCTCATCCTAATGGTCACAAACTTGTGGAAACACTTGGACACATCAAATAAGATTAAAAACACCTGATAGAACATTCAAATGATGGAAAACCCTCATACATCAAAATTTGACCACCCGGGTGCCATTTCCCAAAATGGACCCTAAACCCCCAAAATGCACAAATCATACAAGAGTGGTCACAAATCAATCTAAATACCATGTATTTATATAAATACATATGCTAAACATTTTCACTTGGCTCAGAGCTCCTTGTGGGCCTACGCACCCACTCTCTCTATCCAAGCTGTATGTTTGCCCATAGCATACCATTTGCAATGCAACCACTTTGCATTTGCTTATAAAATCACATATATATCAGAATAAAGATATGCTTGTAATAGAAACTGGTCTACTAAGTAAATCCATCAAAACCACACACCATAACCAAGTTTCCTAGCCACAAGTCGTGCAAACAGACAAAAATTCATACACAAGCACACAATCCACACATAATCACACACACCCACACAATCACATCCTACTGGCACCCTAATTTTAAATACATTACAATATATTTGCTCAAAAGAAAGGGGTTGCAGTTCTTTACAAATCACAAGCAAACCCCTAGCTTTGCTCCTTTCCCCGTCCACCACGGAATCCTTCGCCTGGACCTAGAATATTGAAAAAGAAGGGGTGAGACAACCACAGTCTCAGTAACAATGAAATCTACATTGATTATTACAAAGTAAGCCATAATCAAATAAATGAATAATAATTTCAAACATAGTATATAATTTAGCCATTTAAAATGCATGAATGCAATGACCTAGGTCGGTATGGCCTTTTATGACCAACAGAATGCCCCCTGGCACTCTTTAACTTACAAGTAAACCTTATACCTACTTGTACCTCCACAGGCACAAAACATAATCTAAGGCATGATCTAATCCACCGAACCTCCTAATGCCCCTTCGACGTGAATCCTGAGCAGTTAAAGCTAACTCCCTCCCAGAGCCAGCCCGACTTACTCTCCATATGAGGGCTACCTTGGCCGAGGCAACTCAATCTCACACTTCATATGTCGGATTTCCTTCCTACTGAGAGTGTCGAACACTCAATACATTAACCACTTTAGTGCACTGAGCCCACAATACGTAAGACAACACTGAGTACTGACAGTGTGTCATAGAATATCAAAATCCACACCTTCTCATTGGTGAACTCCCACCGAGATCATACCTTTTACTCTTGTCTTACCTTTCCTGAGTATTGACCATTCACACTCTAAAGTAGTATAATATTATAAATCTCATTTCCATAAAAACATTGTTATTAAACAATTAAAAATATATTGGCACTATAATCAAAGTAGTAACCCATAACCCCTTATAAAGCACATTTAATCTTTTAAAAAAAGTAATGCATGATAACTAGTAATATTTATTCAAAAATAGCTAAAACAAAGTAATAAGAAATATAAATTCCCCTGTTACCTCAACCCTTTGGTACCAAAAGGGTTTCCCCTTGTACAAAATAGGGCTCGGCTTGTTCCTTACTTCTCAATAAGTTTCACCAACAATTTTCTCTACAACATATAAGTGATCCACATCACTTATCATGATAAATAGCATCAATGAAGACTATAACTCATACCACACAACTTGGGTCAATGAGTCATAATCCACCCTAATGGTCCAATATTTAAAACCAACTATTTACATAGTATCACTTAACCACCAAAACCATTTATTAGCCATCATTAGGCTAATTTCCAATTTA